ACACCGCGGCCCTCAGGCTGAGACCCATTCCAACCAGTCCCGGCTGAGCCACCTCCCCGGAGCCCCTCAGCGCAGTGCTGAACCCGTCCGCCCCCACCCGCCGGGGGCAGCGCGGGGCACTCTGGGATATGTAGTCCGGCCACTCCCAGCTCCAACAGCCGGGGCTCGCTTCTGGCGGGTGTGCCCCGGCAGAGCCTTTGGGGAAGACGCGGGAGGGCGGTGCCTAATGACGAGGGCGTATCTGGGGTGCGTCTCCATGGCCCTAGTCCCCGAGGCTGACCTTTACTGTGCACCTACCTTTTGTTTTCACTCCTCACCCGAGGATATGTTTTTCATTGATGGGAGGGGAGGGGGGAGGAGAAGGAAGAGAAAGAGAGAGAAAGAGATCAGTGGGCTCCCTCACTTATGCACCCCTGACCGGGAATCCCAGTAATCGAACCCGCGAACCTTCGTGCGCCCGTGCTTCTCAACCTGTAAGTCGCGACCCCTTTGGTGGTCCAACGACCCTTTCACAGGGGTCGCCTAAGACCATCCTGCATATCAGATATTTACATTACGATTCATAACAGTAGCAACATTGCAGTTATGAAGTAGCAACGAAAATAATTTTATGGTTGGGTCACAACATGAGGAACTGTATTTAAAGGGCCAGAAGGTTGATAACCACTGCCTAACGGTTAGGCCCTAACCACCTGGCCACATGGGCAGGGCTGGTGCCTGCTTCCCGGTGGGGCTCTCTCCCCAGCTCGGAGATTGAAGCTCCGGGAGGGAAGGTGACGTCCAGGCAATGACTTTCCTGCAGTTGCAGCCACCAGAGCAGAGGTGGGACTCCAACCTGGGCTGCCACCCGTCCTGGCTTCTGTTGGCAGGGGGTGCTGGGCACGCCCAGGCAGGGAAACTGGGCAGAGAGAATTCGCCAGCGAGGACGAGGGGAGAGATTCCCGTGTCGCTGAGTCAGGCCGCAGGTGCCTGGCTGTTATCACCAGCTGAGGAGCATGCTGAGGAGCTGGGGTCCTGGAACCAAAGGGTGGGTTCCAGTCTCATTTCCGTCACTTCCTAACCCCGTGGCCCTGCCTGGGTTCAACACTTAAACTCTGGAGCAGGGTTGGTTTCTTGTTTGTTTGACCTGTAGAGAGAATCACAGTACTTACAGGGTGTCCAAAATGTATACAGATTTTAACAGCTGGTAACTCAATTTTGAAAATGAAAAGT